TGGCAACACTCCCATTGACTTCAGTGCAGCTTGGATTTCACCCCACATATCATAAAAACATTTACTCCAGATTGCAAGCCCTGGATAATTCTGATATTGAGGGGAAGTGGCAGGTCAAGGCATTAAAAATAAGAGATTATGACAGAAGAGAGATCCTTTGGGACCCAATCCTGCAGCCCTTACATGATTGCTCATTATTCCCTTCAATAAGGACTTCTTCCATGTGTAAGGGTTGCAGGATTGTGACTTTGACTTTTAAAGTATTAAAGAATTCTGTAGAATTGTAGTAACAGGACAGTAAGTTCTTACTGTAAATAATAATAAGAGAGATTAACAAGATTAACTTTATGATCAAATAAGCACTACTACATCAAAGGCAAGCCTGGAAAAAGCATTGTTTTGGCATTAATATGCCACCAGATTGCATCTATTACACTGTTGTTTAAGCAATATTGCCATTGAAGCTAGTAATGTGTTCGCCCATTCAAATTTCCTGAAAGTTGGCACAAGGAAGACAAGAAGAAGAAACCACTGGGTTCAGAGCAGACAGTTCTTTTTCCAGCAGCACCTGTCACTTTCTCCCTCCGGAGTGACACAATGAAGAAGGGAGGAAATCCCAACTCAAGAGTGGAACAGTAAAGAGAATTCAGTTTGGCAAGAGTCCTGTTCATTGCAGGAGAAACCAAACACAGAGAGATAATAATGCAAAGTCCATGTTCGGTTATTTATAATTAAATGCAAAAAACCTATCAGTGTAATGTTACATGTGAGATTTTTCATTACACACTGTGACAGATAAAGCAACTTCCTGCAATATCTTTGGGAGATCATACTGTATTAAGTATATAAATGGTTTATGTCTCATTGTGGGTCATGGATTGTATGCACTGCATGTGGGGAGGGTTACCACAGCTCTGCCAGGGAAGGAAAACAGTTGGGGATGATTAAGGCTAAGCACGCAGGTGTTTAGACCTCCAGAGAGCTACTACACCTCCTGGGGAGGCTTGCATATTCTGGTTCAAACTGTGTTCGCCAGAGGCCAGCAGACAAAGAAGGGACTTTTGGATAAATAACTCACGCTTAAACTGTCTTGGGACCTTCATTCTCGTTCCTGATCTAAACACTGATATGAACTTGGTGTGGCAGATGTGAGACCTGGGCGTCCAAAGGGCCATACTGAACAATGTGCCAGACAAGAATAAACTCTTTGAACAAAACATGTTAAGTAGCTTTTCTGGGGAATATCTAGGGGGAGGTGAATGCAAATTCTCTATCTCCGATTATGCAAAAATCCAGCTTTTTGAAGCTATCAATGTTTAATTTGTGCCAGAGCTTGTCAGGGCTGAACCCTGGCACCTCTAGCCTTGGCAGTTCATGGCCTGGGCACCTCTGGGCTCCCAGCCAGCAGCTGCCACTCTCTGGCCGCCCAGCTTGAGCCCCGGCATCTCTCTCATTACAAATTAAACACTGGAAGCTATTCCCTGAGGAGTAAGCCATTGTCTGCTGATTACCTGTTACATGAGTCCACGATCAAGGGCCCAAGCCATATAGAAGAAAGACTGGGCGATTCATGATTGTTCTGGTTCTGAATCTCGGACAGTTATGAACTTGTAACCAGGGGGAAAACCCAGTTGTGGGGTTTGAAAGACTGACACCTACCAAAGCCCTATGTTGGAGTTAGGGGTAACCACTGGAAGTATGCGTGTAAATTATTGTATTGTTTTTATATGTTTTTCTCTGTAAACCATCTATCTTAAGAATAAATTTGCTTGCTTAGAAGAAGCTGTGTGGTTGTAACTTATAACTGCTGGCAGTACTCTGGTCATAGCCCTCAGAGAGAAAGTGAAGTGCAGGTGCTGGACTTTTAGGCAGATGGACTTACTAGAGATATCACCGGGAGCTGTGCAGCCTTAAAACCCTGCTCAGGAGGGAGTGAGACACAGGTCTCCACCAAAGACTAGGTGATGGCTGGAAGCCAGAAACCTTGCAGTGGGTGTCCTCGAGGGACCATGGCAGGGGAAACACAGGTGCAGTTACCCTGAAACTGTGATGCACACAAGTCAGGAAATTCAATTATTTGGTTTCCACAGCGAATATAATTTGGCTTCTTGCATATACGGAGTATTTTTTTACGATATATAGTGTTATGTATATGTATGCATATATATGTGCATACATGTCATACACACATCTTTTCACTCACACACACACATATATACAAATGTTAATAATATATATTTATATACACATACAATGGCCAAAGTAGCAGCTGCTGTGGGAACTATGGGCCAGAACCTGAGCTGGTGTAAATCAACATAACTCCTCTGGAACAATTGCAATTTACATCGGCTGAGAATCTGGCTCTTTAACTTTGACACTCTTGACTTTTATATATTTAAAATTTCAGCAATAATCTTGCTTTTTTATTTCATTCCTTCTTTTGTTTTTTTTTTAGTTTTTTTTTATATTTTCTTTTTTTAAAACAACTATACTTATGTGGCTGTATTAAAGCCCCATGTTTGAATGATACTCCTTGTAGCTGTACATGATTTTCAAATATAGAACTGGACAGGGCCATATGCTACCCTGTGTTGGTTTTCCAGAGCAGGGTTTAGAATTCCCTTCAGTATCCACTTACAGTTTCCTCCATCATCCTGGTTTTGATCAGCATAGCACTTAAGCACATGCTTAACTTTAAGCACATGAGTAGTCCAAATGACTTCAGTGGCTCACTTGCTTGAAGTTAAGCATATGCACACCCAAGTTAGGACCAGGCCTGCCTTGCTATGTCTGAGGGCAGAGTACAGTCATCTAGCAGAGGGATTCAAAGAAGGCTGAGAAATGTTGGTTAAATACATGTTTGCATCTTTGGCTGCTATAGTAAATGCTAAAAGAAAAGGAGTACTTGTGGCACCTTAGAGACTAACCAATTTATTTGAGCATGAGCTTTCGTGAGCTACAGCTCACTTCATCGGATGCATACCGTGGAAACTGCAGCAGACTTTATATATACACAGAGAATATGAAACAATACCTCCTCCCACCCCACTGTCCTGCTGGTAATAGCTTATCTAAAGTGATCATCAGGTGGGCCATTTCCAGCACAAATCCAGGTTTTCTCACCCTCCACCCCCCCACACAAATTCACTCTCCTGCTGGTGCTAGCTAGCTAGTAAATGCTGCTTCTTTTACACACACACACCGGCCTGGTCTTCACTAGGAAAAAGGTGTACTTTTAACAGGTTAGAGTAGCCAAGGCAACTTTAGTTTTAACATATACTATTTGGTCAAGGTAAATGTTAAGGTTAGCCCTTGGAAGCTAAAATGTGTCAAAACTACTGTTGTTTTTTTAAAGGATTACACACACCCCTCTCTTCCCTCTCCATTTTTTTCTTCTTCACTCTTTCCTTTAGTTTAACAACAGCGTTTACCCTCCCACAGCCAAAGCTAGGATAGGATAGGATAGGATAGGATTCCTGTGCAATTTCCAGCAGCTCCACCAAGCAGCAGCACCGCCTCATCAAACACAACTGGGGAGAGAGAACTAGCCCAGCACTTTAATTAATCCCTGTTTAACCCCCCCCATCTCCCAAAATAAAAACCGCAAAGAATATGGCCAGAGCTGCTTTAATTTAATAAGAGCGAGGCACAGATGTGTCTCCCGCGTGCGCTCCCAGCTGCTTCTCCTTGGACCCAGAGGAAGGAAAGAGATTTCACAGCTGTCCTAAGGCGGGTATTTGCTTGACATTGTGTTTAAAGTGCTGTTTATTGCCTCGCCATTGAATAACAGGCTCCCTCCCTCTCCTTTCAGCTCCTCCATTTTTCTCCCTCCTGGATGAGATATTAACCACCACAGCCCTCTGGCTGGCACAGGGGAGGGGGAGTTTCTGCACAAAGCAATCACAGCCAGCGCCAAATGCAAGCTGCTTTCATCTCTGTAACTTTGTCCCTCCTCCCCGTCTAAAAATAATACATCCGAGGGGGTCGGGGGGGGGGGTTGTTTTCCTGGGTGGGGGGTGGAATTAGCTGTTAGGAGCCCATTTTAAGTAACACTTTAAGTTCCTAAATTAGGGACACATATCGCATGATTCAATATTTACAATATAAATCTAAAATAACGTTAAATGGTAGCTCATTGGGGGTGGGGGTTGGAGTTCCTACCGAGACCATGTGAACGGTGTCTGGCTCCGACTGAGGGGTGGGGGATTTTTGCATTTCAGTGAAATTCACAGTTTCGGAGAGCGCGTCTTAAAATCTCCTTCAGTCCAGTTGTCCTATACAAACTGTGTGTGTGTGTGTGTGTCCTAAACCGTGCGTGTGTGTGTAATATAAAATCTGTGTCGATATACACGTACACACAGACGCTACATGAGTGTGTACACTATATATTTATGTGTGTGTGTGTATAGGTGGTATATAACACATTGTGTGTATAGATCCTGGATATGCGTATCTATACACACACACACCATATGTGCGTTTAGTGTGGGGGTCTATACATGCTGCTATACAATGCAGAAGGTGTGTTATTATGTACAGGATACATATGTGTGTCTATAAACACACTTTTAAGATCTATGCGTGTATCCCCACGCACAGCGTGTCTACATTGCGTACACACAGTGATACATGCAATAGGACATGCACTATAAGCTGCAGTGTGCACAGGTAGACTGTCCGGGGGCCACAGCGGCATTGAATGCGGATTTCTAGCTCGCACCTTTCTGGATGATCAGCCCCCCCAGGAGCTGTAGATACACAGCCTATTATACTGCTGAGGCTTTCCTGTTATCCACCCCACCCCCTTCTGCAGGCAGAGTCCGGGCTGGCAGCTGGGGGGGGGGGGGGGCGAGGGCAGGGCTGTGTGTGTGTGTGTGTGTTATTGCACACTTCCTGTGGTATATTTATGACCAGGGCTTCGATTTCCGGTAGCTGATACGAGCTCTCTCTGTGTCTCCCTCCCTGAGCATTGAATATCAGCGGGCGGAGGCGGAGGGGGGGGGCCTGGCGCGCGCGCGCACAGACAGACAGACAGACAGTGTGGGGGGTGGCGGAGGACAGAGGGAGAAGCCAGTGACCGGGGGATGGGAGACACCTTCCCCTCCCCACTGCCACCCCCTCACCGTATCCTCCCGCCAGCCCCAGCCAATGCAGGGAATAGACCACAGCCTCCCCCCCGCCCGCATTCCTATGGACAGACACCTGCAGGTAGGTGGCTGCGGGAGGAGGGGGACAGCCGGGTGTGGGACACCCAGTCTCTCTCTTTGTGCGCAGGGGAAGGAGGGCGCTTCGGAAACCTCTATACTCAGGGTCCCTCTCTTTGTGCAGGGGGCAGTTAGGAAGTGTGTGTGTGTGTGATGGAGATCCGTGTGTGCGCATATGCACACGGAGTGTCTCTCTTGCGTTTGAGGGCGAGGGGGGCGGTAGGATGGTTGTTGAATGGCGGAGAGAGGTATAGGTGAGAGAAGTTATGTACAGTGTGTGTGTGTTGGGGGTGAGTGGAGGAGGGTCAGGAGAGCATCAACCAAATGATTCAAATAAGCCAACACTAGACAACTTATTAGCTATCAGTTCTTCCTCTTCGCTTTTTGTTTTTGTTTTTTTACAAAGTTTTTAGGGCATAAATCAATCAGCGGACCCCACCTTTTCTTTTCGTATCCCCTAGTTCTTGTGCCCCTGTTTGGATGGCAGTGGGGGGGGGGGGGAGCTCTTGGGCTGTGAGATGTGTATTGGGAGGGGGTTGGCTGTGTACAGAGGTGTGTGTATGTGTTGGGGAGGAACGGTCGAGTGGAAAGGGGTGTGTGCTGAGAGGGTGGTATGGGGTTGTGAGGAGAAGAGACTGTATTGGGGAGGAATGGTTGTGTGTGTGTCTGTGGTATGGCTGGTGAGGGAAAAGGACTATATTGGGGAGGAATGGTTGTGTGGAGAGAGGGGTGTGTGTGTTGGGGAGGAATGGTTGTGTGGAGGGATGTGTATGGGGGAGGAATGGTTGTGTGGAGAGAGGGGTGTGTGTGTTGGGGAGGAATGGTTGTGTGGAGGGATGTGTTTGGGGGAGGAATGGTTGTGTGGAGAGAGGGGTGTGTGTGTGTGTGTGTGTGTTGGGGAGGAATGGTTGTGTGGAGGGATGTGTTTGGGGGAGGAATGGTTGTGTGGAGAGAGGGGTGTGTATGGGGAAGGAATGGTTGTGTGGAGAGGGGTGGTGTGTGTCGGGGAGGAATGGTTGTGTGCAGGGATGTGTATGGGGAGGAATGGTTGTGTGGAGAGAGGGGTGTGTGTGTGTGTGTGTGTTGGGGAGGAATGGTTGTGTGGAGGGATGTGTATGGGGGAGGAATGGTTGTGTGGAGACAGGGGTGTGTGTGTATGTGTGTTGGGGAGGAATGGTTGTGTGGAGGGAGGTGTGTATGGGGGGAGGAATGGTTGTGTGGAGGAGTAGGGGGGGTGGTGTGTGTGTGTGTGTGTGTGTGTTGGGGAGGAATGGTTGTGTGGAGGGATGTGTATGGGGGAGGAATGGTTGTGTGGAGGGATGTGTATGGGGGAGGAATGGTTGTGTGGAGAGAGGGATGTGTATGGGGGAGGAATGGTTGTGTGGAGAGAGGGGTGTGTGTGGGGGGGGGGGGGGGTGGGGGAGGAATGGTTGTGTGGAGACAGGGGTGTGTGTGTATGTGTGTTGGGGAGGAATGGTTGTGTGGAGGGATGTGTATGGGGGAGGAATGGTTGTGTGGAGAGAGGGGTGTGTGTGTGTGTGTGTGTGTGGGGAGGAATGGTTGTGTGGAGGGATGTGTATGGGGGAGGAATGGTTGTGTGGAGGGATGTGTATGGGGGAGGAATGGTTGTGTGGAGAGAGGGATGTGTATGGGGGAGGAATGGTTGTGTGGAGACAGGGGTGTGTGTGTATGTGTGTTGGGGAGGAATGGTTGTGTGGAGGGATGTGTATGGGGGAGGAATGGTTGTGTGGAGAGAGGGTGTGTGTGTGTGTGGGGAGGTGGTTGTGTGGAGGGATGTGTGGGGGAGGAATGGTTGTGTGGAGGGATGTGTATGGGGGAGGAATGGTTGTGTGGAGAGAGGGATGTGTATGGGGGAGGAATGGTTGTGTGGAGAGAGGGAGTGTGTGTGGGGGAGGAATGGTTGTGTGGAGAGAGGGGTGTGTGTGTGTTGGGGAGGAATGGTTGTGTGGAGAGAGGGGTGTGTGTGTGTTGGGGAGGAATGGTTGTGTGGAGAGAGGGGTGTGTGTGTGTTGGGGAGGAATGGTTGTGTAGTGGGGGGACAGACACTCTCTGTCTGAGAGATCAGGTCATGCAGAGGGAGAGAATGGGCTGATTTCCCTTTTTACTTCTACTTCTTGCTGCAGAAACGAACCGCTCTCTTTGACCCCCTGGCCCCTATCAAGGCGAGGGGGAGAGTTACCCCCCAGCTCCGAGTTTCCCACGCCCCCCAGTGGCGCGTGCTGCAGGGCAGAGCCGGGCGCGGGCCCGCTCGCTCTTACCCCTCTTTGCTGCGCGCTGGCGGGCTCCCCGCGCGGTGTGTTATTTATTGTTTCTAACGGGGGAGGAGGAGGAGGTGTCTCTGTCTGCGAGGCTGCGCACAGGGGTTGGTGTTTGGTGTCAAGGAAGAAACCCACCCAGGGGTGGGTTTGGCTGGGGGAACCGGCGAGAGGCTGCAGGAGTTGAGCTGTGTAGGTTATTTCAGAGCTCAGATTCCAGAGGAGGTGGCTTTGCTTTTGGATGGCTTGGATCGGTTTTATATCTTTGTATTTGACGCGCTCCTTCTGGAAGCAAAAGTTCTGCATTTTTTTTTTTTTTGCCATTGCTTTTAGGATTTGGGATGTAAAATAACCCCCTCTCCCCACCTGACATCTTTACACAAGTGGCTCGTTGAAGCGAAAGTTTAGCGAAGTGTTGTCTGTACATCTTTAGAGATAGAGGCTGAGGTATCTGCGTAGGAGGGAAACGTCTGGACGTATTTTTATAGGGCAAACAGAGTTTCTCTCTAGAGATATAGTGCGTTTAGGTAAACAGCTTGATACTGATTGTGGTACCTTGAACATATGCAGAAACGATTAGAGGATGAACTGGATTTAGCTGTTGTTTTGCAGACGCTGATCAACCCTCCATCCCCTTTTAGTATAGCTTTGTGGTTGCAAGTATGGTTGTGTGGACGCAACCTTTAAATAGCTTGATTTCCCCCTCCCCCCCTTATTGAGAAGCAGAATCTTTTATAATCAATGCTCTTTTTGTAGTAAGTCTTGTATATCAAACGTTGGAAGCGTCTCTTGTGAATGATTGCAATGGCGTTGTTGCAGGAAATGCAAAAGATCCAATTGTTGGTAGTGAACAAGCTGTAGAAGCGTTTAAAACCATAACCCATCTTGAACCTGGCTTGTCAGAAAGACAAATCAGGAGTGACAGAGGAAACCAGAGTATTGTAAAGCAAGTACAGAAAGATGCTCAAGCAAAGGAAAACAAAGAAACATTTTGTAGTGGAAAGATATATGGAGCCTTCTATGGTTTAATTTCGGCGGTTAAAAAAAACAGAATCTCTTTCCATCAGAAAGGACTAGTTAGTATATGTTAAAACTCACCTTCCTCCCTGGTGTTAGTGGTTATAAATATCACTTGTACTCAGCTGGATATTAAATAACACTAAATGAAAATTAATATGATTTCCTAAAAAAATCAAGCTGAGTTATTAGTGACAATAGGCAATTCAATGGGTAAAAATATAGGTTGGATTTCAATAGTAGAATTTTTATTATAAGATGTTTGCTTCTCTTCTCCCCCCCCCCCCTGTTATATTATCAACATTAGTTGTGCTGTAGAATTGTAAAAACAACAGGAGGACTTGTGGCACCTTAGAGACTAACAAATTTATTAGAGCATAAGCTTTCGTGAGCTACAGCTCACTTTATCAGTGCATCCGATGAAGTGGGCTGTAGCTCATGAAAGCTTATGCTCTAATAAATTTGTTAGTCTCTAAGGTGCCACAAGTCCTTCTGTTGTTTTTGCGGATACAGACTAACACGGCTGCTACTCTGAAACCAGTTAGAATTGTAGATAGTCAGGGTTTGAGCTTGCATCATTAAGCTTAATTGGAGTTTTTCTATTGATCTTAATGGGAGCAGGAGCAAGCCCTTAGAGTGTACTTGCTAATATATACAAGAATGTGCAAAAATAATTGCGTCCCTTTGACATTCATTGTGCTTAGAGGTTTTTTTTATATTTAAAACAAAAATATCTTGAAAATGTTGACTGGGTGTAAGATCTGTTGGATTTTTTTTTAAATATATAATAATCTAAATCCTTCTTTTTCCTAACTTTACAGTTACTCTAAAGCCAAAAGTACAACTAGTCTTATGACTTCCTCAGGCCCCTACAATGAATCTGCCACTCATCTTGGATTAAAACCCAGAGCATTGGCCTGCTAAACCCAGGGTTGTGAGTTCAATCCTTTAGGGGCCATTTAGGGATCTGGGGCAAAAATTGGGGATTGGTCCTGCTTTGAGCAGGGGATGGGACTAGATGACCTCCTGAGGTCCCTTCCAACCCTGATATTCTATGACTGCCTCCTTCTTATTTTTGACTTTAAGCAAAATATATTTTTCAATATTGTGCTAAAGTTTATCAGCCCTTTGAAGTATTATAAAAAGTAAACTAACACATTGAGTTAGTTGTTTACATACTTTACACCCTGCCAGCAATAGAGATAAGACTTAACAAAGAGATTTGTATAAACTAAATATTAACGGAAAGTGTTCAGGTGAATAATGGATTGTGCTAAATTATGTGCAGTTTAAGGCTCTTCTGAGATATGTAGTGTAGTTCTTCTTTGTAACAGTGACAGAAAACCAGTTGTCAGCTAAACAGCATTACATAGACGTTGTTTTCTGTTTAGAATAGCTGAATTTCTGCAAGTTAAACAAAATTTTGTTGAAAAACAGTAACACCTTTCTAGCATCTTTAACATTTTTTATTTGGTTACTCTTGATAGGCTGATTTTTACTGAGCAGATATATAGATAATGGTCTCTCTTTTAATCTTCTCCTGTATGCTCTTACAATTAATGCATTCTACGTTAGTACTGTAACTTCCAATGTGCATACACTAAGAAGTTCCCTGTATTTGAGTTCTTGGGAGGATATACTGTATATATGATGTATACTTTTTTGTACAGTTGCAAAATAATGGCTCACTGTGGCTGCGTTTGCAGAGCGCTAAAATTCAGTTTACTTTGTTAGCCTTTCACATTTGACAGTTATCAAACATACTGTACCTTCATTAAAGTGTGCCTTAAATCTCATCTTGATGTTAGTTTAGTTGAATGTTTTAAATGAGTAGTGTTGTGACTAATTTTAACTGAATGGAAAACCAGAGAGTTTCAGCAATATGATTGTTTGGCATGTCCAATATACCTCTTAACCTTGCAGCATGCTCATTAGCTTTGCTCTAGATGGTTGTCTGTGGTCTGATGCTTTGAACACGCCAAGGGGAACTAGGAAGATTCTAATACAGTTTTGTCACTGATTCTCTTTTATCCTTTGGGCGAGTCACTCAGTTTCCTGCATCTGTGAAATGGGGATAATAATACTTATTTACCCAATTCACAAGAGCATTGTGAAGATTAACTAGTGTTTGTAAAATACTTCAAAGAAATATATATGGAAATTAATCCTCTCTAGGATTATTATACATCTGATAATTCAAGTGATAATTCAAGATGAGTGCAAGGCTTTGCTTTCAAATGCTATCACTTAGAGATTTTTTTGCAAAACAAAGTAGAGGGAGGTGAATATGGAAGAAAAGGTAAATGAGCATGAATTCTAAACAGTTTTACACAGTTCACGTTTGTAATGAAAAATATTTTAAATAAAACAAAAACTGAAGTTAAATGTTTTCTTAATGTATCTGCATAGTAGCCCAAAGCAACTTGAAAGAGTTCTGTCTTTTTAAAAGACCCATGGAGAATGACTGCTTCATCTTAAATTATTTGACCTTGGTGCTGATTGGTTGATTTATGAACTTTATTTACCCACAGGACTGGAGAATTCTGTCGCAAGACAGAAATTACAGTGTACCAGTGCTCTAGTTCGTTTCCTAGGTAACAAATATACAGCACAGATTCCATAATGACGCCCTTGGTTGGCTAGTTATTGTGTACATTTCTTGTTTAGTAAATCTGAGTCCTGAAATAAATAAAAAAGTCTTGTTTATAACACAACTATCCAAACACAAACTATCAAAAGCAAAATGGAACTGGAAGGCTTCTACGCTGTGGGAATTTATTGCATTCTATCTAAAGTAATACATAGATATAAAGGAAAGTTTCAATATAAATGAATGTTACAGTTATACACTGGCCCTATTTGAAAAGTCTTTGGTGAAAAGAATAAAGCTAAAAACTGTACTGCATTTTACTCAAGCTTGTATACCTCTCTCAAGTCTGACATTACATTTGCAAGGCAATAAGTTATTTAGTATCTTCACTGTGCTGTACTCATTGGCTATAGTAAATGGTTCCTCATTTTCCAGTCCACCAGTTATCAAAATTCCATGCTGTTCGCATTGCTGAACAGTTCCTTCCTTTATCCAGTCCCCTTTTCTGTTACTTTTCCCTCAGTCTGTTGTCTGGTGCCTTTCCAGTGGAAACCTTTTAATGAGCAAAGGTTCTCATGTGAATAAGAATTTGCAGGATTGGGCCCAACAATATTTTAGGTTTCATTCTGTGATCTTTCCCAATAGGAAATATTCACTCATTCCTTTTTCTTTCCTATGATATGAACTGAAGAGTTATTATCATCTTAAAAATCACACTGTCTGATATTTATAACAGTAGGTAAAAAAACACAACCTAAAATAACTGAAAGAAATTAGAGGGGGGGGAAAAACAGTCTCTCTCTCTCTCTCTCTCTCTTCTACCTCCTCCCCCACAGTTAGTTTATGTCCTGCATTTGTCAGCTCTTTTTATGTACTCAGTTCATTGTTTCCCCTTTCTTACAGCAACAGGTGACAGAAAAACATTTTTAAAAATAGGAACAATTGACTCTAAATCCACAAAAATGGGCAAGTCTAGTACCTGAAACCACTTTACAACTCCTATTTTAAAACTGACTAGATCTCAAGTTGATGATATCCTCTTCAATGATCAATACCATATATCAAAAGCCTTAATTATTTTCTACTCTCCCACTTTCCAGGTCCAACTTTAACCAGTAACTTCTTAGCAAAAGGCTGGGGCAACAGAAATCTACCAAAAAACTGACTTTTGTGGTGGTCTGATTCAAAATCTATGGAACTTTGCAGCAATTTTTGTTGATTTTTATTTTACTTGGATATGTTCTTATACTGTAATGCCAAGGAGAAGTAGAGTCAATGAGAAAATATTTATTAGTCAACTAAACTGAAATGTTTCAGAGTAACAGCTGTGTTAGTCTGTATTTGCAAAAAGAAAAGAAGTACTTGTGGCACCTTAGAGACTAACCAATTTATTTGAGCATAAGCTTTCGTGAGCTACAGCTCACTTCATTGGATGCATACTGTGGAAACTGCAGAAGACATTATATACACAGAGACCATGAAACAATACCTCCTCCCACCCCACTCTCCTGCTGGTAATAGCTTATCTAAAGTGATCACTCTCCTTACAATGTGTATGATAATCAAGTTGGGCCATTTCCAGCACAAATCCAGGTTTTCTCACCCTCAATAAAGTTGGCAACGGGCTTTGTTGCAAGGATAGGTTCCTGGGTTAGTGGTTCTGTTGTGTGGTATGTGGTTGTTGGTGAGTATTTGCTTCAGGTTGGGGGGCTGTCTGTAGCCAAGGACTGGCCTGTCTCCCAAGATTTGTGCCCACATATCTATTCAGGGGACACCATCACAGGGCCTAATAACATCAGCCACACTATCAGAGGCTCGTTCACCTGCACATCCACCAATGTGATATATGCCATCATGTGCCAGCAATGCCCCTCTGCCATGTACATTGGTCAAACTGGACAGTCTCTACGTAAAAGAATAAATGGACACAAATCAGATGTCAAGAATTATAACATTCATAAACCAGTCGGAGAACACTTCAGTCTCTCTGGTCACACAATTACAGACATGAAGGTCGCTATCTTAAAACAAAAAAACTTCAAATCCAGACTCCAGCGAGAAACTGCTGAATTGGAATTCATTTGCAAATTGGATACTATTAATTTAGGCTTAAATAGAGACTGGGAGTGGCTAAGTCATTATGCAAGGTAGCCTATTTCCCCTTGTTTTTTCCTATCCCTCCTCCTCCCCTCCAAGACGTTCTTGTTAAACCCTGGATTTGTGCTGGAAATGGCCCACCTTGATAATCATACACAATGTAAGGAGAGTGGTCAGTTTGGATGAGCTATTACCAGCAGGAGAGTGAGTCTGTGTGTGTGGTTTTTGGTAAAAAGGGGAGGGGTGAGAAAACCTGGATTTGTGCTGGAAATGGCCCAACTTGATTATCATACACATTGTAAGGAGAGTGATCACTTTAGATAAGCTATTACCAGCAGGAGAGTGGGGTGGGAGGAGGTATTGTTTCATGGTCTCTGTGTATATAATGTCTTCTGCAGTTTCCACAGTATGCATCCAGTGAAGTGAGCTGTAGCTCACGAAAGCTTATGCTCAAATAAATTGGTTAGTCTCTAAGGTGCCACAAGTACTTCTTTTCTTTTTTTTTAAACTGAAATGCTTTCTCTGCTGCTGTACACCACCTGTTCCAAGAGCAGTTTTGAATTAGAGCTGATGTGATTAACTGAATATTTTCAGTGTTGGATTAAAATGGTAGGGCAATTAAAAAGAAAAAGTAACAACTTTGATCACGTAACAAATTTAAAAATCTAAGATGGCATCACAACTAAAAATGAAAAAGTAATAAAAAAACCTGTTTCAATTTGTAGCTCCATAATGACTTCCACCTTCATCTTAAGCTTGGTATCATTTTAAAGCACCAGTCCCACATGGTTTAGGGCTTGTTGGCATGTAAACAAACAGTAGTAATTTTTAAAAAAAGATGATGATAATGTCAGGTACTGTAAATTTGACCATAGATTTAGGATGTTATTTTTTAAAAGGTCTGCAAATGCTAAAATTCGTAGGCTGACCACATAGGCTACCACAATTGACCACCGCTTGGCTAAGAATTGTACATACTGCTAGTCAGTGCAACAAATATAATACAATATTTCAGTACAATCTTCCAACTTTTCTCTCCCACCTCTTTTTGTTTTGTTTTTCAGGCCCTGATTCTGCTAAGACCTATGCACATGCTTAACTTTATGAACGTGAGTAATCCCAATAATTTCAATATGGCTATTCACATGTGTAAAATTAAGCATGGATGTTAATCTTTGCAAGATCAGGGACTTCGATTGTAAGGTCTTTTGGGTAGCATTTGTCATTTATTATATATAGGTATATAGTGTGTGTATATGTATGTGTGTATGTATAATATATTTATATTATATATATGGCCCATCCTGGTTGATGCCTCCAGGAACTACTGTAAATAATAACAAATATTGTCAGGAAATAGATTTTTTAAATGTCCATAGCCATTTTAAAAAGCTTTGTTTTACGATACATAAGGAAAAGATTTTGTCACTGAGGTCACAGAAGTCATGGATTCCGTGACTGTCAGAGACCTCTGTGACATTTTCTATATCTTCAGCCCTGAGCCAGGAGCGGTGGGGTCCCTGGAGCTCCAATTTGCCATGGGTGATGGGGGCCCTGGAGCTTTGAGCTGCCACAGGGGGCTGTAGTGCTGTCATTCTCTCCTTCCTACTCCCTTTCAGCTCTTCGTTATTTTTAGTAAAAGTCACAGACAGGTCACGGGCTTCTGTGAATTTTTGTTTATTGCCCGCGACCTGCCCTTGACTTTTACTAAAAATAATGGAGACAAAATCTTAACCTTAATGATGTACTTTTATGGATTTAAACATCCTCGTGCACTGTCTGAAACCCAAATACTTGTATCTGAGGCCTGGTCTACACTGGGGGGGCGATCGATCTAAGTTACGCAACTTCAGCTATGTGAATAATGTAGCTGAAGTCGATGTACATAGACCTACTCACCGCAGTGTCTTCACTGCGGTGAGTCGACTGCTGCCACTCCCCCATTGACTTTGCCCGTGGCTCTTGCGCTGGTGGAGAACAGGAGTCGACGGGAGAGCGCTCGGGGGTCGATTTATCGCGTCTACACTAGATGCGATAAATCGACCCCTACTGGATTGATCGCTGCCCGCCAATCTGACGGGTCGTATAGACATTCCCTTAGTCTCTTGCTAATACATGAGAAATAGCATTGAAACTGACTAGATACAGTGTGAAAAAGCCAACCTGATTACTCAGTTTTGTCCAAACTGAGTCAAAGAAACGAAGTATTCAAGCAGCATAAATAGTGAAAATTAAATAGTTGTTAAAACTAGGAGAATTTTAAATGATCTCAGGAATTGTATTTCCAGAGGAGTGTGATTTAGTGGGTAGAGTAGCTAACTATGGCTCAAGAGTCTGAATTGTATAAGTGATTTTGCCACTGACTTACGTGTGACCTTGGACAAGACACTTAATGTATGTCCTCAGTGCAGAGTAAACTCTAGTTACCCACACTCAAGTTGCTCCTCGCAAGTTAGCCTAGCTCATGTGAGAGGGGCTACACTGAAAAATAACACTCAAGTTGCTGTGTCTATGGCTTGCACTGTATGCTTTCATGTGTGGTACTAAGGGTACAGCTACACTTTGAGCTCGGGTGTGATTGCCAGCTGGAGGAGACATACTCAGGTGAGCTCAGACCAAGCTAGCATGCTAAAAATAGATGAGTAGCCACGGGGGTGCACATGGCAGAGGGGCTAGCTGCCCAAGTACGTACCTGGGGTCTCCGAGGGAACCCTCCTCTGGGCAGTTAGCTCCTCCTCCTGCTCATGCCACAGTGGCTAGACCTCTATTTTTATTGCACTAGCTCACTCAAATCTAGCACAGGTATGTCTCCTTGAGCTGGAAATTACATCTCCAGCTCAAAGTGTAGGTGTACCCTAAGGCTTTTGGGGTTGCATTGCAGTAAGCTGAGCTGCTCTATGAATTCTTTCCCTTTCTGGGCACATGGAGGAAATTGTGAGAAAGCATTGAAGGACTAGCAGCACCTAAGTGGAGGTAATCTGTGTCCACACTGCAGGGTTGCTAATAGCTTATGAGATGTGCTAACTCCAGTTTTAACCTATATCAGGGTAATCAATTGTTTTTTGCCAAGGTCCAAATTTCTTGGTCAGGGTATAGTCAAGGTCCAGACTCCAGAGAAAATTAATACAAAAATAATAAGGATACTAATAAGTAAAAGATGTCATGGTCTGTTCAAAAGCGTCTGGTGGTCTGGATTTGGCCTCAGTTCACCTGTTGACTGCCCCGGTATATCCTTTGACAGGCCAGCCAACTTGAATTAAAAGCACCAATGCACTTGGGTTAAGACCGTTTGTATAGGACAGGACCCAACTTAAAGGCAAACTCTAGTTAGCATTGCAGGGATGACAAGCTCCAACTGTCTGACCCTAGCTGTAAAACAGAATAGCCCATGTCTATTTCTCAGGGATATTGTGAGGAGTAATCCATTAATGTCTGTAAAGTGCTTGGAGTTATGTGGAAGAGCAGTGCTAAAGAAGTTCAGAGGAAATTAATTTTTATAATGTAACTTCTGTTAACCTAACCATGTCCCTTTAATAAATGGAAACAGAGGTGCTGGGCTGGGAAGCCAAAAGTGGCTGTAAAAGTTATAGGAAAGCACAACATTATTTTGCTGAAAATTGTTTATACTCCTGTTCTTTAAATCCTTTGCTATTGCAACAGATATATAAATACCATGTCTGCATTTGTGTTCTCTGCCTGCTCTCTCATTGGTGGCCTGGGTTGTTTTTTCTTGGACATGTCTTCAGCTTTATCCTTCTCATATATACCACTGATACTAGCCCCCCTCCAAAGATGGTCTCCAGGGGCTAATTCAGGAAAGTATGTAGGCAGTGGTTAAGTCCATCCTTATTCAGAACAGTACTTAAGCACATGTTTAAAGCTAACCACATGTGCAAAGTTAACCATGCTAAAGTGATGTCTACGGGACTTAAGAATGTGCTTAAGTGCTGTTCTGAATAGGGAGGTTTAGATGAAATGACTATAAGCTAGGTGCATAGATAGTCTCACCTTTGGTCAGAGTGTACGTGTGGAAAATTTCAGCCCAAAAGGCAAATGTTTTGGGATGAAATGTGAAAAAAGTGAAATTTGGGGATGAAATGTGAAATTGGTACTCTTTTATAACCTTACCTATAGCAGTTGTAGCCTGTACCTGCTTTACATCTTGGCATCTTTTCCCCATAGATCTTCCAAGTTTTCACTGGATTTAATTTATTTGCACTAACAGTTTGAAGGGATACTATTTAACTCTTTGTTCTAATTTCATATTGCCCCAGTATAAAATGCACTTGCACGCCGTGTGCTTCCTCATGCTGGTCTGAAATTTAACATACAGACTGGATTTGAAAAATTCCACTTGAACTTGTGCAGTTTTAGAGACAGCTATGAGGTGTCCATGACATGGAATGATTCTGTGCTGTAGCCAGACGTTTTTCTGTAGACTTCCTTTACGTTCACTTTGCTGAAATGGGTAATGTCACTGTAACTGGACAGGAATTTGAATTGGACTTATTATAGGGTAAAATGGAAGGTGACCCAGCTTTTCCCCATAGAGCCAAACCCTGGGTCTGCCTATGCTAGAGTGGGAAGGTGTAAATTCCAGCTTGAGGAGACATGTCAGCACTAGCTCTGATTGAGCGAGTGCACTAAAAATAGAAATGTAGCCATAAAGGCAGGGATTAGCTGCCCTGAGTATGATCCCATCTGAGTATGGCTAGCTGTCCCAACTATGATCCCCTCCTGCCACTTATGCTCTCATGGCTACACTTCTATTTTAATGCGCTAGCTTGATCTGAGCTAGTGTGGGTGAGTCTCCTCCATCTGGAATTTACACCTTCCATGTAGACATGTCTGATGTCAGTGTAGACATGTCTGATGGAGCTAGAGGCTGCCACAAGTTGCTTCCCTACCAATGGTTGGCTGTCTGAAATGAAGCTGGCTCCATTCATTGGCATCTAATGTAATCTTTTGCCACAAGGAGAGACAGCTCAATAGCATGAGAAGCATCAGTGCCTAGTGGACTGAGCACAAGGGGCTCTTCTGTTTTAATTCCAGCTCTGACACTTACTTCCTTTGTGGCATTGATCAAATCACTTATGTTTTGTGACTTAATTTCCTTATCTGTAAAACGGAGATGATGATGATGATTATAATGCACACTTATTATACCCACCCAACAGGGATTTTGTGTTGGTGAATCAGATAACGTTTCCAAAATGCAATATAAAAATTAGTTTTGCCAACACATGAAGACTGGGGAAGACATGGGAGAGAGACGTGAAAACAAAAGTGGCAGAAAAATGGCACTCTGGAGCAAAGAACACGTAAAATAGAAGGGGGATAGACAATATAATTGGTACACTTTTTCTTCCAAGAGACCTGCATGCAAGTTTGTCCCAGGATGGTAGAGAAATATGTTAGTGAAAATTAGCTGACACACCTCTAATCCGGAACTTTTCATAGTTGTTACACGCAGTGTGGTTTTTTTTGGATCCAGGACTGACTATTGACCATTCTATACCTCAGACCTGTATGTTTTGGGGGCAGTGGAATTCTAAATTTGGTGGTGGAAGGCAAGAAGCAAAATGGGGGAGAAAACATTTCTTTGCACACTTATATTACATAGTTCTGATTGATTGCTGTTGAACTCGCTTGAATGCAAGTAATTTTACCAGGTGACCTGTATTCAGTGTAGGGAAATACGGTCACCCTAAATACAGCAGAATCTCCTCAGATTTCTCTTATCTGCATAGGGCATGAATGTCTTTAACGTCTTCTTTTGACTCTATATGGCAGCTTTACATGAACAAAATCTCCCATTTCAAACTTTTGAGGTTTATCCTCTGGCTTACAATCTGCATCCTGTTTGTATTTCTCTTGTTTGTTCTTAACACATTCATGAATAGTTTCATTGGAAGGTTTGGTTGAAAAAGGAGAACATGTAAGCCCTTGACAGGTAGTAAGTTGTGCATTGGCCTTGCGTCCTCTTACACAGTTCAGAGGATGATACTCTTGTTGTTGAGTGTGTAGTGGTCCTGTAAGCAAACTGTGTTTTGCGTAAAGCTTTCTATGGTTTGTTCATTCTCTTGACTAGACCATTGGCTCTCAATGGTATAAAGAAATGGTTTGTGCTCGATACCATTGCTATTGAGGTAGTGTTGCTTTTCAGCAAAGGTCAATTGCATTCCATTGTCCGATCCCAATTTCTTGGGAAATCCTTCTTGAGTGAAGACCAATGAAAGGAACTTTTATCATTAATTCAGTGGTAACCTTTACAGTGAATGTAACTTCCTACCACTTTGAATGATCATCTACCATTACTATGACAAACCTTTACATAACAGACTGATCTTCTTCAAATGATCCCATTATATCGAGAACCGTTTTCTTTCATGGACAATTGGGATTGTCAACTGGTGTGAGAGGGATACTGAAGGTTTTCCGTGACTTATAACTACTTGCACAAGCCATGCAATTCTTTATTATTTCCTCAACCTGCTTGTCCATCCCTGGCCATTAGAAGTCTTGTCACAGTTGTCTTTCAGTTAGACTCCTCCTGAGATGTCCTTCTTGTGCCGGGTGGATCAATCATTCTCTGACGTGTAGGCACAACAAAATGGCCAATTCTCAAAATGCATTCATTTACAAGGGACAGTTCTTGTGATACGTGTCTATATGGTTGCAAGTGTTCTGGCATCCTCATCTTATAAGGCCACCCATCGACTATATAAGGCTTTAGGTCCTGAAGTACCTTGTCTTCTCTCATGGCTGTTGCTCACTCTGATTCTGTGATCACTCCTTGAGTTGCAGCAGAGATTTGTGCAAAGACAGTCTCTTCATCACAATTGCACCCTCATGATAAGGTATGGGCAGGCCAAGCAGACAATCTTCAGTGGTGTTCTTGGCACCTGCAAGATACTGTCTGGAAATCTAAGTCCATTACTTTGGTGGCCCATTTGGCAATTCTTGGTGCTGCTAATCCAGAGCCTCGTGTGGTAAAGAAAACTGAAAGAGGTTTGTGATCAGATCTTAAGATAAATCTCCTATCCCACGGGTAGGTTCTGAACGTTCTTACTGCCCAGAAACATGCCAGAGCTTCTTTCTCAATGACAGAATAGGAATTTTCTGGATGAGTCAGGGTTCTGGAGGCAAATGCAATAGTGACTTGTCCATTTTTTAGTTGAGTCAAGACAGCAGCATACTCTCAAGCATCTGTTGTGACAATTGTGTGCTTCTCAGAATCAAAAGGGCTAAGAGCTGGGCTGGTGGAAATTGCATGTTTTATCTCATTAAAGCTGTTCTTGCACACTTCATCTCATTCAATCCTCACATCCTTTTTAGGTGACGACTCAAAGGAACTACTTTTATAGTAAATTGCTGTAAAAACATAGAATAGCATTCACACAATCCCAAGAAGGATTGAAATTAGTCCTTGTTGTCAGGCTCTGGTGAATCATGAATGGCTTTCACTAGGTCTTCTTTTGGTTGTATGCCATTCTGAGAGAATGTGAGTACTAGATATGTCAGATTGTACAGAATTGCCATTTCTTGTTGCTGTTGGTAAGTCCTTGTGGCCAAAGCTTTTCTAGAACCTATTTTAGGATGACATCATGTTTGGATACATCTTTGTCATACACTAGAATGGCAAGGTAGGTGAGGTAATATCCAGCTTTTCTTTTCTTGGTCTGAGGAAGCTCGAAAGCTTGTCTCTTGCACCAACAGAAGTTGGACCAATAACAGATATTACCTCACCCACCTTGTCTCTCTAATATCCTGGGACCAACAGAGCTACAGCAACACTGCATATAAACTAGAATGTCATCTTGAAAGTAAGTAACGCCCCTTGTCTCTCCAAAGATCCCATGCATCATTCTCTGGAATACGGATGCTGCAGAGACTAACCCAAATGGCATCCACTTGAATTGGAACAAACCTTCTGGAGTGATGAAAGCTGTGTACTTGCGGGATTCTTCCATTAAGGTGATCTGGAGGTAAGCGGCGGATCAATCAAGGGTTGTAAAGACTCTTGCCTCCTTCAAGGTGAGCAGCATTTTGTTGATGTTGGGTAGAGGATGACAATCCACAACACGTTGGAGTTTAGCACGCTCAAGTCCACACACATGCAGATAGCACGATTAGCTTTCCTGGCAACAATGTCAGGAGAAACCCATTCTGATGAATCAACTGGTTCAATGATCTCTGCTTTGCATAGTTTCAGAATCTCCTCTTTGACTGGTTGTCTCAATGCAATTGGTATGTTTCGCACTTTATGCTATACAGGCACCACTTCGTTTTTTAGCTGGATCTTCTGCTTTGAACTTTTTTGTAACACCTGTGGTACCGGTGAAAACTTCTGGAAAGTTGGAGACAATTCCTGTTTATAGCCTATCCTCAGTTTTCAGGACAGGTTCTGTACTATTCAGATCTAATATCATCTGAAGATCCCTTTGATTCTTTCCTAAACTAGAAATTGCCTTTCGGACTACATAGATTTGTCCTCGGGTATTATGGCTTTTGTACTTGAGAGCAGCTGCAAAAAAGACCATTGATGGGGTTGGGAGATACCCAGGGTATGGTGTTCTTGTCTGGAGGATACAACTCAGTTGGGAGCTGGAAAATAGCACAGTTTAGAGGTGGCTGGGAATTATAGTGTAAGCAGAACCAGAATCCACTAATGTCCTCCTCTCAGGGCCATTGACTCACACTTGGTGGTGTGGTGATCTCCTCTCACATTCCAAACACCATCAGGATTCAGTTCACTATCATCCTCATGAGTGAAGACTCCAGATAACAACACTGCTGGCAGACTTACAGACTTTTGCAAAATGTCCTTTTTTGTTGCAGTTCTTCCATACTGATTTCTTGGCAGGGCATCCTTGAAAGTCTGCCTTATGACTTGTGAACTGCATCTGTAGCTTTGGTAGCAATGTGTTGTGTGGGAGGCAATGTGGATGTAGACTTGGGAACATTGCAGGTTGCAGTCTTGTACTGGACTGCATTAACCTCTGCAGGCTGGAAGACATCTGGTGTCATGGAAAGTGACTTAGAACAATGGATGGCACTTTCCATTCATCAGGTGGTTTCTCCAAGGTAAGTCCTTTTGTCATGAGGAGTCATTCACAAATCTGAAAACTGGTCGTCCTCATGACAATTTGATTTCTGATCATTTCATCTGGGAAACTGGCAAATTCACAGATTGCACTCAGCACACATAATATAGCTACGTAGTGGTTGATGGCATCTGTGCATCGGAATAGAATTTGGAGTGTTTGGCAGCAGCATTTAATAGAGAAATAAAATAACCATCCGGGCTCGGAAAGCAGCACCATACAGATCTTGCCATATCTTGTGGCAAGTCAGTAATGGGAGGCAGATGCTTGAAGATTCACTGCCCTTCAGGACCAAGGCAATGGAACAGTAAGGCTTTCCACTTTTCTGGAGTGTAAGTAGAAGGTTCTATAGCAAGCGTACAGCTGCTGACGTAACACTTCGATTGGAAGTTGTTCCCGTGGGAGTAGAGCAGGGGTGGGCAAACTTTTTTGGCCTGAGGGCCACATCGGGTTTCTGAAATTGAATGGAGAGCCAGTTAGGGGAGGCTGTGCCTCCCCAAACAGCCAGGCATGGCCCGTCCCCCACCCCCTACCCGACACCCCCTGCTTCTCACCCCCTGACAGCCCCCCAGGGACCCCTGCCCCATCCCCCACCCTGCTGCTCTGGGTCCCCTGACCACCCCGGACCTCCCACCCCTAACTGCCCCCCCTGCTGCCCCATCCAACCCCCGCTCTGTCCTGACTGCCCCCTCCGGGACCCCTGCCCCCATTCAACCCCGCTGTTCCCCACCTCTGACTGCCCCAACCCCTATCCACGCCCCTGACCACCCCCCAAACTCCCCTGCCCTCACTGCCTGGAGCACCGGAGGCTGGCAGCGCGGCTGCACCAGGACAGGCAGCTGCACCAGGACAGGCAGCTGCACCACACAGAGCACCGGGACAGGCCAGGCTCTGCAGCCCCGCCGCCCAGAGCATTGCGCTGGCAGCGAGGTGAAACTGCGGGGGAGGAGGGACAGCAGGGGAGGGGCCAGGGGCTAGCCTCCCGGGCCAGGAGCTCAGGGGCCAGGCAGGATGGTTCTGTGGGCTGGATGTGGCCCATGGGCCATAGTTTGCCCACCTCTGGAGTAGAGGATCGCCTGGAGCAGGCATGAAGAACAGTGAAGGCGGAACTTCTGCCATAGTAATAAGTGTGGAAGCAAGTTGGGGTTCTCAGAACTGCAGAGGAATGTGCTGGCTGGGAAAAGGGAGCCCTATATAGGCACGGCCCCTTTAAATTTCTCTTCTCAGCAAGCAGTATTTGCAGATAGCAGCAGCTTTAGACCTGTGGAGTTTTCCTGGGCGCAGCAACAGGAGATCACAGCAACAGGAATCATGAGGCACTTGGTTAAATTGGATTTCTGTTTCTCTGTGGTTCTTTTGTGCTTGTTGCCAGTTAGTTCTGTACCTGAACCCCTTTTGAGGAAGACTTGGGAAGCTTTGTAATAGCAAAGGGCAAAGTTTATTCTCCCCTCACTCTTTCACAGAGCTCACATTCTTTCTTTCCTTCTCCTCTCTCTCCTCCTCCTTCCCTGATGCATCCTGGGAATTCTTCTGTTGACCTAGCTACCACCTCTTAGCCCTGGTCTACACTGTGTGTGAGGAGGGGTGGGATCAATCTAAGTTACACAGCTTCAGCTACGTGAATAACGTAGCTGAAGTTGACGTACTTAGATGGACTTTCTGTGGTGTCTTCACTGCGGTGAGTCGACTGCTGCTGCTCCCCTGTTGACTCTGCCTGCACCTCTCGCGGCGCTGGAGTACAGGAGTCGATGGGAGCGTGCTCGGGGGTCGATTTATCATGTCTAGACTAGACACGATAAATCAACCCCCGCTGGATCAATCGCTGCCCACCGATCCAGCGGGTAGTGTAGACATACCCTGGGTGAGGTGAATTACATTTATCAACAGGAAAATGCCTCCCTTTGGCATAGGTAGTGTCTACTGAAGCTGTAGCACTGAAGCTGTACTGTTTGTCGTGGTTTAAGTGTGGACATACTCTACATTGCTGGATGAATTCTTCCATCAGCCTAGCTGCTTCCTCTCGAGGGAGTGAATTTACTTCAGTGACGGAAAAACCTCTTCTATCCCAGTAGCAAGTGTCTACACTATAGCCTTACAGCTGCATAGCCACCGCTGTGCCATTGTAGTGCTTGTAGTGTAGACAGACCCTAACTCTCCATGTAGACACCGTTACGGCGTGCCGAAAGTCGCAGAGTGCAGCAAGCTAGTGCGCTGTAGATTCACTTGGCTCGCCACACACTAACTCGCTGCACAGCCAAGCCTTCAGTGTCAATTAGCTTAATACAGGCTCTGGTGACAAATTCAACCCTAACACTGACAGACACAAATTCAAACATGCTAGAGCCTCATGCAGCTCTCTCATTTAATTGTATAAAAATATTTGTAATTTTTTATTCTGCCAGACCCCCCCATTCACACATCTTCCCTTCATGGAGTAATAGTCCTAAGAATTTTATTAATGGTACATTTTCAGATTTTACTACCTTATGAAATTTATACTATGCATTTAATAAACAACATATGTATATGGTGTTGGATATATTTTGGGGATATCGATTTAACAACCAAACAGGGTGGTTAAAGTTTTGTTGAACAGGTTGTGTAAATCTATTGGGATGATAATGACAGACTAAAGATTATATGCCTGTGGGGAATTGGCTGGATACCTTAGCTTTATGAATATTGACATTCTTGATTTCCAGTGTAAAAGCACTTCTTAGATTTATTCTCTATATTCTTTTGTTTTCCCTCCCATCTCTACCCCATAAATCAGATTCACTGACCTGGCTATCTGTCAATGCACTATGGGTTCAATCCTACATTGTGCTGAGCACGCTGGCTCCAGTCCAGCAAAGCACTTAAGGACATGCTTAACTTTAAGTGTGTGAGTAGTCCTACTGAAGTCAGTAGTGTGTATGTGATAGAACTGGTCAAACAATATTAATGAACAGTGTTACCAGGGAATTATTTTTCCTGTCAATTGCCAAATAATCTGGGAATATATACACTTTTTATTCATTTTTCTCTTTACTCCTGTGTCTAATTAATCTGTTCTGAAATGCAGAGCACTCTGATCATGCTCTGGGGGAGTCAGGCAGGCTTTGGGAGTGGTGCAGTCACAAAAAGCTATCGGACACACACAAAATAGACTTGACTTTACAGTTCTTTTGAAATGCGGGAATATTCATTACATTGAGCCTTGCAATGAAGCTGCTATGCATGATAGTAGAGCATTGTTGGAATATAGAAACAGACAATTTTGTATGGAAGATGGTTTTTCAATGGGGCATTAATTTACAAGAAACATTCCACACTTTAATTGAGCACTTTTAAATACACTGCATCTGCTTTAATAGACTGCTCTCACTGTATGCATATGTACAATCTCATAAAGATGGATAAAAATTGTTTCAGTCTATCTGGAAACCAAGGAGAAATAGCAGCTTAGAGCCATATAGCTATGCATTATTAAACATTGGAAATTTTTGTTTTTGTGTTAACATCCAATACTTCCTTGTTGGCTAGTTAACCCCATAAAGCTAAGTGACCTGGTTTTCAATCAGACACTGAAAACTGTTTTTCTCATGTATACTGTCCTCCTAGCTACTAATTAAATTGTGCTGCTTTGTTAGATTAGCTCTTGGTTTTTACAGGCCATTTAACTCTTGAAAAAGAATTTAAATAGGGTAGTACAATGAGGATTAAAATGAGATAAATTAAAAACCAGGTATGATTGCTGATTGTTTGCTGATTGATTGTTACAAATTCTACCAGAATTCTTTGCTTTCTATTTATTTAAAAATGTAAAATGTTTTATAAGGACACAGAACTTGTCCTAGTGGCTCAGCCAATTTATTTATCTACTCAGGCTCCCTGCCTGAAGCAGAAGCCAACACCCAATGCTTCAGTGGAAGCTTCTCTCCTCGCTCC